TAATTGTCTAATGAAAGTATTTACCAATATACAGTATAAAAAATACATGTTATTTATTTATTTATTTATTTATTTATTTATTTATTTATTTATTTATTTATTTATTTATTTATTTATTTATTTATTTATTTATTTATTTATTTATTTATTTATTTATTTATTTATTTAGAAACAAACGTGGAAACACATGATGTATAAGTTGTTGGAGAATATAGATAAAGCGTGTAATGAATATGATTAAATGGCAAATTTTAAATTTGTAAGGCAAACAACATCGGATTAGCGCTTTCCACTCTATTAATATTTACTACATATAACTAAAATCGCCACAGATTTAACATATTCTGACCTCATACTATGCAACGCATATATGAATATTCAATTATTAGACTGTGGTAGTTGCCAATCAATCATAACAAAACAAAATACAGCACGTGATACTCCTTAGGCAATTAGCGATGAGTCACTGTAACTCCAAATAATTTCATGGTATGAATCCACTCACTCCATCTAATAAACCCGAAAACCAATTGTCATCCGTTGTGTCAGTAATTCATCATCTGTTCTTTGTTCATAGTCCTAGACGACCTTTCCTAAAAAACAAGAAAATACGAAATAGTGTAAGTAGTGTAATTGAAATAAAATAAAATAGTAATACATTTTATATATGATCTCTAGTGAAAAGTGAATTTCAAATCTCGAAAAAATCTTAGCAAGGCCAATCACGTGATAAACAAAGTAAGCTGTATGCGTAGAATATGATAATGTAATATTATTATTGAATGAATCTAGTGACCTCATAATATCTTACCTTTTCCTGAGTACTCCGGTGGAAGCTGGGGAGAAAAATCATTTTCCCCCTCACATGTGTGTGGGGAAGAAGGTGATACAGTGTCATGGCTGAACTCTGACTGGAATGAATCCAGTTGCGCTGGCGAAGGGGGAAGAGGAAGTTCGTCTGTAAACAATCATTGAAATGATAAGAATCTACAAAATCCAACAAAGATAATGTTGGTGTAACCCACGTCATAACTTAACTGTCGTTTTCAACATGGTGCGACAAGATTTGAATGATCGCACTAGTATATTTCAAGATTTCTTATTTTAGCATGCCAAGTTTCACAGTTCGTTTGGATTCGTTCTAAATGTAAGAAACTATAATTTCATATCGTATTATCATGTCCGGATGTAACTAAATTTTATATCTGATCTCTAGCAAAAAGTGAATGTCAAACCACGGAAAACCTTAGCAAGGTCAATCACGTGATAAGTACTAAGTTGTATTTGTAGAATATGAACTAATTTCAA